ATAAACTATCAAGGGCTCATGAGGGAGGGGGGAGCGGGGAGGGAGGGGAAAAATGAGGACCTAATGTCGGGGGTTTAAGTGGAGAGAAAATGTTTGGAGAATGATGTACAAATGTGCTTTACACAATTGATGTGTGTATGGATTGCGATAACAGTTGTATGAGTCCCTAATAAAATGTGTTTTTTTTAAAAAAGAATGTATACCACTTCCCTCAAATTCATAAAATGTTTCAATTAAAATATTTTTTTCTTTTAAAGGAGAATATTTCCTAAGAGGGACAAAGACAACAAACACAAAGTCAAAGACACATCATCCAGATGAGGGAGGCCATCAACATGAGGTTAAAATGTCATCCCTCAATTTATTTTTGTTTTTATTTATGAAATAATAATCCATTCTACACCGGTTGGTATCCTAGAAAAGTCAGCTCTTTAGTTTTAGTCTAAGATAACAATTCACCAAGTGACCAGTACTGTGTGCACAAAGCTCATTCAGTCAGTATTGCTGAATGCAAGCTACGCACTTGGTGCTGAACTCTATCTTGTCAGCATAAATTGTCCCTGCCATTAAGAAGCTTACTACTTCCCAGGGAAATAGTATGTGTACAGGAATACAGGCACAGGAAGAATTTTCATTGCTGTAACCTATTGTAGTAGATTGACCATTTTCTTACCTTTGTCTAATTTATTATATATGTGTTTTGGCAATTCTGGTGAAGATTCTACATTTGGAGGATAGACATACATTGCTCTACTATGAGGAGAATTAAGATCTCGAAGATCCACAGCTTCTTTACAAACATTCAGAATATTTCTCCGGAAGTCCTGTACTTCTGGATCTTTAACCATGTCAAATTCACACACTGGCATGCCAATGGCAAAACCTTAAAAAAATATATACATATGAAGAATACAATAGTCTATTAAATACACTCCATGAACATGTTTCTTATAAATTATAAATTTGATAGAATTGGGAGGATATAACAGAATAAAAAGTTTCTGCACGTTAATAAAAATATATGTACTGATGACCACATAGTAAGAGTTGACAAGGACCCACATGTTTAAACCAGAACATGTTCTGAAGCTGCCTAAGGCAGCCAATATTATATATAGCAATTATATTTTAAAGAATAAACGTGTGATACAACATATTTAAGTCATCCTTATAAATGCTACTTCTTCCATTCAAGTACTAACCAGGCCCGACCCTGCTTAGCTTCCGAGATCACACACATTCAGGGTGGTATGGTCGTAGCCTAAATGACTTCTTAAAGAAAACCTTATAGAACAATATGAAAGTGTCAGCAAAACCTTTACAGAATAATCTGATAATAATAGCTTAAGCTTTATAGAATAATATGAAGGTGTTAGCCTAGAGGATAACAATTTGTATCAAAGCTTTTTTAAAAAGAAAGTTTGCGAACAGCACAAAAATGGTTTGGTAATAAGACTAACAGTGAAGCTCCATATTTGTCTCCTTTTAAATAGAATTTCAAATAGGACAATGCCAATTAGATGAAAATCATATCATACCAATTTCTCGATTGAGGATCTTTTCTTCACGGTTTCCTACGGGTTCAATTACTTTTAAAAAGGGTTGAAAAAGCCGAAGGTCACAAAGTCGTCTTGTTTCATCAAAAAATTCTTCCCTTTCTGCTTCTTGGGTAACACTTACGAAAATGTAAGAAGATTCATCCTGAAGAAGTTGATGGAGAGGATATTTTCTTGCTTCTTTAAATAGTTCATGCTTTATAGTTATTAATGTAGCCTCACGGAGGCATTCTAAAGTCACTATCATTCCATTTGGTAGTAAACATTCTACTAAGATTCTTGGGGGCATCAAGTGGATGCCCCACAGCTCTCCTGATGATGGCCTGGGAGGCATTGTTCTTCTGATTGTGTACAGTGTGACACATACAACTACTTCAGGGAATTAGCTGTGTGGCTGCCCCAAAGCAGAAACCTAAATCAAAGAAGGAAAGTATTTGTTAAAGGAGACACGACTCTTAAGACATTTATGGCATTGCTAAAACATTCTTTTCCTGTAGCTTGAGTTGATTAAGTTAAGGAGTCATAAATTCATACTGTTGCCCCAAATTAATCTATTAAAAATTCATTCTGAAGGGGAAACTAGAAAAACTGCTTGTTTTAATTAAATTTAATAAAGTTCACTTAATTGTATTAATAATAAAAGCCATTATATATGAATAGGCCTTCCAAGTCAGGTTACACATCAAGACAGATCCAAGGCTATGTGATGAATGAAAGCTAAGTTTTAATTCAAACCAACCTTCCCACCATGTATCACCTTTATCATTCTCTTACATTTTTGGAGGAACAGAATTAAAGTTCTAGAGCAGTGGTTCTCGACTTTCCTAATGCCGCAACCCTTTAATATAGTTCCTCATGTTGTGGTGATTCCAACCATAAAATTTTCATTGCTACTTCATAACTGTAATTTTGCTATTGTTGAGTCGGGCGACCCCTGTGAAAGGGTCGTTCGACCCCCAAAGGGGTCGCGACCCACAGGTTGAGAACTGCTGTTCTAGAGGCTCTTTGAGATCATGAGGTCCCTTGAAGAATAAAGTAAAGCTTAAAGAAGTCAGACCTGCCTCCCAGACTTTTGTCTACCATATGATACTGAGAAATGTCATTGCTTAGTTGTTTTTCTTTTGTAAATTGATCTTTATAATTCCTCTCTCCCACAGCCATATATATCCAGGTGATATCTCAGACTATTCTGTCTTAGAAAATGGTTTAGGTATATATATTCACAATTACATAAAGCATCAATACATTTTTTTTTAAAAAGCCTGGTGATAAATTTGAAGTGACCTATCCACTTTCTCAATAACCCAGCACTAATACTTCTGATTGCAACTAATGGTTCTATACACAAATGGGACCCACAGCTCTGTCAGTGTAATGCCCCCAACCAATTCAGTCAATCACTTGTCAATACCTGGAACTAGTAAGTACTATTGTAAATTAAAGATTGTACTGCTATGAGGTCAGCAGTTTGAAACCACCAGTTGCTCATTGGGAGAAAGATGAGACTTTCTATTCCCATTAAGAGTTACAGTCTCGAGGTCTGGGGAGCTGGCCCCAGTCCCAAATACGAAGTGGATGCCTGCCCCTCCCCCAGAAGTTATTTCAAAGGATGGCACTGAATCCGCAGCTCCGGGAGAAGGATATATCTGATCAGGGCACACAGGAGCAGATGACAGGGGAAGAGGAGAGACTGGAGCACATCCTGACCCACCAGGCCTTGAGGACGATGACCCCAAATAGAGCAGCCAGTCCACAGAGAGGACCACATGGCCAGCCCCACTATGAGACATGATGCCCTCACTGACCCATGG